AAACACACACGATTGTTCTGTTGTTTAGATTTTATGGAAGACAATGGCAGCCATAACCAATGTCTGAAGGGAAGAAATCATATCATCATCAATTCCAAAGAAATATTTAATGGTGTAAGACTTTTATACCCTACAACACTATGTGTTGAGGGTATTATAAGTTTGATTGGGCCAGAATTTATGTAACACTTCAAAATATTGGCTTCCCATATAGGAAAGCACATATGGATCTTCCTAGCTCGCCGAGTTGAGTCGAGCTAGCTATGTATGTCAGCCCGTCTGTCCATGTTAATTTGTAATCACGCTACAGGTCGCAATTATGGCCCGATCCTTACGAAATTTTGAACGAAGGTGGGGTTAGGGTCAGAATAGAAGCCTATTTCTTTTGGAGATGATCGCCAAATGTTTAGGGGTTGAAATGGACCAAATACTGAAAAAATTTCGGATTTTGCAGTAGCTATACAGGTCGCAATTATAGACCAATCGACGCGGAATTCCGCATGTAGCTAGAGTTTAGGACGGGGAAGAAGCCTACCAATTTGGGTGGTCATCGGATAATATTTAGCGGGTAAAATAGACCATATCTTTTGTATTGAAAAAATTCAAAAAATTTCATTAAACCGTGAATATTTTAAATCCCGTCGAAATCACAAAGGCATCCATCCAACAAATCGGATATATAGCAAAATATGTGCGATATATATGTCTATCAAAGAAGATATGCTTGAAAGATATCTTATATGTCGAGAACGGCTGAACTGATTTCGACAATTCTCATTAATTTAGAATGGCCTCTTGGCAGGAAAGAAAAAACGTCTAAAAAAATCGCATAAAAATATCTCTCTAAAGATGAAAATATTGATTTTGTAACATTTTCTCATATTTTTTCAATTTTGTCATATTTTTGGCATATTTTCATTTTGAATTAAACATTTGTTAATATTTCTACAGCTAACAAAACTAAGTAGTTAGGATATCAGGATATCATACACAGATCGCATTTATGGCCCGATCCTTACTAAATTTTGCATGGGGATAAGATGAGGGTCAGAATAGATGCCTACTCTTTTTGGAGATGATCTTTATATATTTAGGGGTTGAAATGGACCAAAAAACTGCAAAATTGTCAGCAGGTCGTAATTATCGCCCGATCCTCACGCACATTCTAATGGGGGCTACCGCACATTGCAAAAGCCAAGCAGTTTCGGATGGCCATCCAAAAATATTCAATGTGTGAAATAGTTTACCAACTTTTGTAGACTAAATACGAAAATGTCCATTCCAGTGACTCTTTGGAGAATTCACAAATACAGAAGACGCACTTCTGACTATTTCGTTAACGCTGAATTCGTGGAAGAATATAGTCAAATGTCTGTATCTCATATAGATGCGTTTCAGTCAAAAACCAATAATAAATCTTAATCTTTTGCCACTTCTGAGAGATTATAGGTCTTTGGGAAATATTGGTTCCAGATCAAAGAAGACCATTTAAATACCAATAAATTGGAAATGAGCAAATTAGTTTAAGTTGCTATTATTCGAAAATTAGAGAACGAAACCTGATGGTTTTCTTTTACTATTTGTCACCATATCTTGTGGAATTCTTTCGAGTATCTCGCCTATATAAACCGTATCGTTTATTATAGTGTTGTAGGGTATTCAACGGTCGGCCCCGCTCGTCTGTAGCCTTTGCTTACTTGTTCATTTTACTTTTGTTTCTATGGAAAATGAAATGGGGAAATAGTGTTAGACAAAATCCCTATGTACGCATATATAGCGATATATATACAATTTAAGAAAATCGCGTGAAAATATGCTAATAAAAAAGTGAATATTTTTTTATATATTTTGTCATATTTTTTATCGTATGAGATTTTTTTTATATTTGACTTACAATATTGAATTTTACGTTTGGTAACATTTTTTCACCTTACAAGACGACATTTTGGGAGTATCATATTCAAGTCACTATTAACGTTCGATTCTCAAGAAAATGTGCATGGGGATAGAGTTAGGGTCACAACTAAAGCCTATTGTTTTTTAAAATGTATATTTAGAGGTTTAAATGGATCAAAAATTAAAACTCTTCTGAACTTGCAGTGGCCCTACAGGTCACAATTAAAAACCAATCGACATGGCACTTTGCATAAGGTTAGGGCCTAGGGCGGCCCAAAAGTGTAGCATTTTGGACGACTTGAATTATGTTTAGAGGGTAAAATGGACCACAACTTTTGTGTGAAATTGTTTTGGATACCTATCACCATGACATGGAGAGTAAATACAAGGAAATATACTATAGTGTTGTAGGGTATCGTGTGGTCGGACCCGCAAGGCTATAGCCTTTGCTTAATTGTTTAATACAAGTACTTCACATAAATTCTCAATATAAACTTTTTGTTACGGGAGCTCTAATAAATAGGGACTGAGGTATATGGTAACCTATAGCCTGCCCCGCCCGACTTTTGACCTTTGCTTATTGGTTTTTAATATGCCGTATTTTGCACTCCATGTCGAGCCGAAATTGCTTCGGATTTATACATTACTCCTGAAATGACCCATACATATGTTTCCACCCTGCACCACAAGGTAGTCAGGGTATTATGTCTTTGTGCATTTGGCAAAAGGAAACGAGTTTGACCCATAGTTCATTTTGATAATCTGCATAGAATCAGATTCTGAGTCGATTTATGCATGTCAGTCCGTCTGCCCATGTATTCTTGTATACAAAGTACAGGTCGCATTTCTTGACCGATGCAGATGCTATTTTGTACAAATCATTTGATTGGCCCAAGGACAAATCCTATGGAAATTGGAGATAATCGGTCAAAATTTAGATATAGCTCCCATATATATCTTTGTCCGATTTGCGTTTTTTGTGCACAAAACGTGTAGTATGGGCTCAAATAGTATGACATTTTGCACATATGACCAAATTAGACCTGAAAATAATTATGCCAAATTTGATCGAAATCGGTTCAGATATAGCTATAGCTCCCAGATATATTGTTCATCCGATTTGTTTTTTTTTTGTCCTCCGCAGCCGTAATATGCACTTTGTAACAACAATATTTGGGGACATATATCAAATACAGCTCAGAAATACATTTGCTAAATTCTATCGAGATAGTGTCAGATTTGGATATAGCTCCCATATATAACATAGTCCGATTTGCTTTTCATTGTGCACCAAACTTGTAATATTAGCCCAAATGGGATAAAATTTGGCACATACGATGGAATTGAGTATAGAAGCTGGTATCTCAAATTTACTGAAGATCGGTTCAGATATAGTATAGCTCCCATATATATTGTTCATCCGATTTGTTATATTTGTTACCCACTCCGTAACAACGATATTCAGGAAAATATATCACACTTTATCCGATTTCAATGTGAAGCTCTACTAAATATGAAAAGTGGTGTAGGGTATCATAAAGTCGGTCCCGCCAGACTTTAAGACTTTCTTTACTAGTTTATTTGAGCTTTTTTCAAATTTATAATCATACGACGGAATTGAGTATAGAAGCTAGTATGTCAAATTTGCCGAAGATCGGTTCAGATATAGTATAGCTCCCATATATATTGTTCATCCGATTTGTTATATTTGTTACCCACTCCGTAACAACGGTATTCAGGAAAATATATCACACTTTATCCGATTTCAATGTGAAGCTCTACTAAATATGAAAAATGGTGTAGGGTATCATAAAGTCGGTCCCGCCAGACTTTAAGACTTTCTTTACTAGTTTATTTGAGCTTTTTTCAAATTTATAATCCATGGCAACCATAGTGGATGCAATAGTCACATGCATCGCACAAAAAATTCTTAGATGGATGAACAGGCAAACAAATATGCAGAAATTGACTCTGAATGCGATCCTATGCGCATCACAGAAAAAGGTCTATCTCGATTTATACTATGTGTCACAATGTGATGTAGGATTAGGGCGAATAACTTACCGAAAACCATAATATGTCTTTTTTCTCTTGAACAGGCCTCGTATGTCGAAAACAGACATATTTTTTTTTTCTTTTTCAAGGGCATCTGACGTAATAACTATCTCCCCATGCCAAGACAAGTCAAAACTTTACAAAGCCTACAATGAAATTTTTCCACGGTGGTTTCCTTCTTTAATCCCCATCCATTTTTAAAATGGTTTTCTTCTTTATTGTGTGAATCACACATATTTTATTCATCCGTCCATCACACGTCCCTTTGTAAGGACAGATTATACGATTTGTTCGTCATTCACTTTCGTGGAAATTTACTACAATTCAATGGAATTGTCCTGCCATATGTGTGAGTGTTCGAGAGTGCGTGTGCGATACATTTTATTGCACTAACATTTTTCATTTGGCGTACCCAAAAGTGTCATTAACAGTCATATTCGGCAGAAGAAAAAAAAAAAAAAAAACACAAAAAAGAAACACAACAACAACACAACCCAAACGATGTCACGTAGTTTCCCACCAAAAAATGGAAAAGAACTGCAAATTCATTGATAAAAATTGCCGTCAATGTCGTTCATTCATGGCATTGTGACACCACACCCACAGCCATTGTGTGCACACACACACTCGCCTCCATTAGAGCTTTTACTACGAAAGGGAAAAAGCTTTTTGTAGGAAAAAAAAGCTTTGACGACACATTGTCCTTACATTCTTATTCACTGAGATTATGTGGAATTTTCGTTATCACTGCTGTGGGAATATATCATCAGTCATTCGGATATGGGTGGTTATGGTTGAGACAATTGGCCATTGTTGTTGTTGTTACTGCTGCTGTTGTTGCCTTCCGCTGCTTGTCTAAAACGTAACATTCGTTACAGTTAACTTCGTGTTTTACTATTGGCCACTTGTTGTTGCAAACTAACGGCGCGCTCTTTTCTATCATAACGTTCGTTTCGTTCGTCATTCGTCGTGTGCCGATGTTGTCGTGATTGCTCGAAGAAATAAAAGCGGCTGACATTTCGGATAATTCTAACATTTAACGGCTAACAACGCATTGTTCAACAAGTGTCGTCGCTAGGTCTCCTGCCAAAGAGAGAGAGAGATAAACCGTAAACGTCTCAAAAGGATAAAAGATTTTTGAAAGCCACAGAAAAAAAAAAAACATAATTTGTTGTTTGAATTTAAAGTGTTAAAGGATTTTCGCAAGTGAAGTGTAATAAGAAAAGCGAAAAATTTTTAAATTATAAAAAGTCACAAAGGACTCGGAAAATCGGAAACAGTTCAAAAGAGGTTTTATTTTGTGAAATTTTGCAAACAAAGTGAGTTAAGATTTTCATTTTTACAATTAAATCTTTATGTAATTTGGTGGAGGATTTTGAAGAAAAAAATTAAATTTTTAAGACATTGGCACAAACTCCAGGTTTTTGGAAAAAATATTTCAAAAATATTTTTTAACAATTTGCTTTATTTTTGAATTGAAAAAAAACAATATTTTTTTGAAAAAAAGTGAAACATATATTTTATAACAGAAATTGATAGAAAATATGAAATTGTTGAAGACTTCTGAAAAATTCCGTATTACTTTCAAACATTGAAAATGCATCTTGACATTGAAGTAAAGTGATAAAAATGCATTTGTCTGCAAAAATTAATTTAAATATTGCCCATGGCGTGGCACTTTAAATGTGAATTTACAAAAGTCAATGACAAAATATACAAGACAATGATATGAAACTATAGTTTTTTATATAAAAAATAGTTTTTTTATTAAAAAAATTAATTTTTTATTAAAAAAATCTAACTTTTTTTTCATATAAAAAATAATGGTTTACAAGTCAATATTTAATGAAAGGGCTTTTAGCTTTAATAAAACATAATTTAAATTTATTTTTAAATATTTTCAAAACTGGAAAAATTGAAAACTACTAAAAACGGTAGAGCATTTCGGAAATATCAACCCACAGAAATCCAATATTTCTCATTAAAGCCTAAATAAAGAAATAATTGTCTTTAAAACATGTTACATAAAATGATACGTTTTTATGCGCACTAAAAACGAAGATCTTTGTTGAATAATTTTTATTCGAAGAATTCGAAATGAAAAGAGGAGTGCTAAGACCAGCAAAGGGTTGTGCAAATATTTATAAGTTGGTAACTCAAAGTTGTATTGAACATACAAGAAAAACAAATAATAAAAAATAAATATTCCGGTAGGAAAGAAGAAATTCTGAAGAAAAAGTGAAGTTTGCTTTATGTGACTACCTTCCTTCTCAAAAACTCACTTTTCTTTGCGGAAAAACTTTGCACTTGTAAATTTGTTTTTGAAATTTTAAAATAATTCCCAGGAAATGACAGGAAAGCTTTCCTATGCAGAGCATGCTGGAAGATATTCAGGGGAAATTTTATATAGCTTCCCATATTTTAGATACATTGTCGGCATAAACCAGTAAAGAAAGGTCATAAGTTGGGCGGTTCGGTCCCTCCAAAATTAATATTTTTTTGGTTGATATTTGTAAGAAAATTTGCTTTAAAATACTTTTTTTTTGTAGATTGGGCTATGTCGGTGTTCCACAGGATTCACAAAAAACATGTTAATATAGGGATATACACAAAAATACCATTTCGGTGGCCCAAATTGTAAACAATTAACTTTTCCTTGTACAGTGTACAAAAAAATGTCAGAAGCAAACTCTAAGAAAGGGTTAAGTTGGGACACAATATATCTACACCATTATGCTTATTAAGAAGAGTTATCCGCAATAAAAATAAACGTTTTTATATGAAAGTTATGAGGAGTAATTCATACCAACTGTGATCGTTTTTAAATTCATATTCTGTTGTGAATCGATTTCCACTAAATTTGACGGAGGCATTTGAGACGGAATCGATTTTCAAAAAAATAAATCCCATCGTAAAATCGGATAAAGATATGTTCGGAGATATATCCAAATCGGAAACAATCTCGATAAAATTTGGCAAATGTATTTCTGGGCTCTTTGAGATATCTGGTACCAAATATCATTCTTGTGGAGTGCATATTACGAATGTGATGTGAGTGAACACCAAATCCGATGAAACATATATATGGGAGCTATAGCTATAACTGAATCGATTTTTACCAAATTTAAAGTACATGCTTCTAGGTTGAATTTGGTCGGAAGTGCCAAAATTCACCCCATTTTGGTATAAGCCATCTAGTGCACAATAAAGTAGTATATGGGAGCTATATCTAAATTTAGACCGATTCTCACCAATTGTAATAGGATTCGTACTGGGCCCAAACAAATGTTTTTTGGAAAATTACATCTCATAACAAAAATACATGGACAGGCAGAGAGTTCATTTGTTTGTAACATGGAGAAGGAAGCGAGGTAAACTCGTAGGTTATTTGGAGGATCTTCATAGAATCACTTTCTGAGTCGATTTATATATGTCAGTCCGTTCGTCTGTCGATTTTTTTTTTTTGTGAACAAAATTCAGGTCGCATTTAGTATACGATTGAGACGAAATTTTCCAAACAATATTTCTTTGGCCCAATGTCGAACACTATTGAAATTTGTGAGAATCGGTTCACAATTAGATATAGCTCCCATATATATCTTCAACCGATTTCGGGTAAATTGTGCACCAAATGGCCAATGAATTTCGGCCCATCCGACCGAATTCGGTCTAGAAGCAAATACATTAAATTGGGTGAAAATCGGTTCAGATATAGCCACAGCACCCATATGCATGTTTCATGGGATTTGGTCTTTAAGTCCCTCACCGTCGTAATTTGCACTCCACAACAGTGATATTTAGTACCAGATATCTTATAGAGCTAGGAAATACTTTTGCCAAATTTTATCGAGATCGGCTAAGATTTAGATATAGCTCCCATATATAACCTTAACCCGATTTCAGGTTTATAGAGCACTAAATGGCTAATATCATCCCAAAATTTAGTGAATTTCGGGACGTACATTTTCATTTGGTGGAATTTGGCTCCCATATATATATATTTTTTAAATAATTCTTCTCTATAGGAATGTTATTTGGTATAAAAGATAAAAGTGTCTACATCAAATTTGCAGACGGGGGCTCTACTAAATATGCATGAATAGAATTTTCCTTACTGGCTTATAAAGTTTTTGATATTTAAATATATAAAAGAGAGTGATGATAGTCACTACGCTTGTAATGTAAGAAAGGCTGAATTCATTTTGAAAATTCTAATCTTAAATAATTATGCTGGAAAAGATTTCGCAATACAGAAAGATAGAGTTCATTCGTTCGCAAATTGTGGCAAAAGCGTTACAAAGTATCACTATGTGGGGCCAATACCGGAATGGTCAATCAAAGTCAACGTCTCAACAAAGTTTCAAATATCTATTTTAAATATGGCGATCTATATAGTAATTGAAACAGACAATCAGCCGACAGACGGACAGAGTTTAATCATCATAGAATTTATTCTTAGAGGACAGGAGTTATGTTTGGCGATCCCATGCCCTTTATATCCTCAATCATAAACTGTGCAGAACAAACTACGAGTCATCATGGTCTTCTAACATTACAAATTCAAAATTACGACCCATTATTATTGGAAAATCCTGCGAAGGCCTGTATTACAAACCGTCAAGAAATGTCATTAAAATATACAAAACACAACACAACATTTTGTAACAAAACACCGATTTTTTTTAACAGAAAAGATAAAAGATTTTAACTTATATGGGCTAGATAATCCATTTTAATTTCTATAATATTATGTTCTTAAAATGTGTTTGGTTTTGTTTGACCCTTTATGATATGGGTTCCGAAAGGTTCGTCCAATATCCTCCATTTCGAATGTGACCCAAGTCTTATATAAATATTACAAGGTACAAGATTTGGCTTATATCGACTACTTCCTACACCTAACACGAAATATCTGATAATTTTTGGAAAATGTTCAAACGTGTACCAGATACAGTGTACATAAGTATTCAATTTCGTCTAATACTGATAAAATATTGGGATGTCCAGAGTTTAAAAATAAAAGCAGTAAGGAAAGGTCAAAAGTCGAGTGTGGCTGACTTTATGACACCCTACACCACTATGCATTTAGTAGAGCTCCCGTAACAAAAAAAAAAAAAAAAAAAAAAAAAAAAAAAAAAAAAAAAAAAACAGTAAAGAAACTCCTAAAGTCGGGTGGGATTGACTTTATGGCTTTATGATACCCTACACCACTTTGGTAATTTTGTAGAGCTCCACATAACAATTAAAAGTTTTTATGGGAGAATTCAATCATACACCCTATGATTATAATTATAATTTAAAGTTCAAAGGACTAAATATGCGGAAGCATTTGTATCTTTTAAATTCGGATTTGTATTGCCCATTTGGTGCAAAATTAATTTGAAATCAGATAAAGCTGTATATGGGAGCTATATCCAAATCTGAACCGATCTCGATAAAATTTGACAAATATATTTCTGAGCTGTATTCGATATATTTCCCTGAATATCGTTGTTACGGAGTGCATATTACGGCTGTGGGTAACAAATATAACAAATCGGATGAACAATATATATGGGAGCTATAGCTATATCTGAACCGATCTTCACCAAATTTGGCATACTACCTTCTAGACTCAATTCGATCGTATGTGCCAAATTTCATCCCATTCCAATTTGGCATACTACCTTCTAGACTCAATTCGATCGTATGTGCCAAATTTCATCCCATATTAGAAGTTTGGTGCACAATAAAAGGTAAACCGGACGAAGTTATACATGGGAAATATATCAAAATCTGAACCGATTTCGATAAAATTTAGCAAATGTATTTCTGAGCTGCATTTGATATATTTGCCCAAATATTGTTGTTACAGAGTGCATATTACGGCTGCGGAGGACAAAAATAACAAATCGGATGAACAATATATATAAGAGCTATAGCTATATCTGAACCGATTTTGATTAAATTTGGCATACTTATTTTCAGGCCTAATTTGGTTGTATGTGCTTAATTCCATACTATTCGGGCTGATATTACACGTTTGGTGCACAATAAAAGGCAAATCGGACGAAGATATATATGGGAGCTATATCTGAATTTTTATCGATTATCTCCAATTTCAATAGGGTTCGTCCGTGGGCCAAACAAATGATTTGTGAAAAATTTCATCTCAATCGGATAATAAATGCGAACTGCATTTTGTTCACAAGAATGCATGGACAGACGGAAGGACGGAAAGTGATTCTATGAAGATCCTCAAAAGTAACTATGGGTCTATCTCGTTTCTTTTTGCCTGTTACAAACAAATGCACAAAGACATAATACCGTTACCACTATG